AGTGAGATTGGGGCAGGGAAAATGGGATTGGGTCAGGGAAAATGGGATTGGGTCAGGGAAAAATGGGATTGGGTCACGGAAAAATGGGATTTGGTCACGGAAAATGGGATTGGGTCACGGAAAAATGGGATTGGGTCAGGGAAAATGGGATTGGGTCAGGGAAAAATGGGATTTGGTCGTGGAAAAAGGATCAGGAATGGGAACCAGATCCCAGATCCAGGGAAATCCTGGGAAATCAACCCCAAATCCAGGGAAATCAACAACAAATCCTGGGAAATCAACAACAAATCCTGGGAAATCAACAACAAATCCAGGGAAATCAACAACAAATCCAGGGAAATCATCAACCCCAGATCCAGGGAAATCCCATTCCGGCTGCTCCCGGGGAAAGGCAAATCCGGATCCGGTTCCGGATTCGCGGCCGGGATCTGGTGACGGTTTCCAGGGAAACGGAGCCCTTGGAACCGGAGCCTCGGGATCGAATTCCCCGGGCGGGAGCCAGGAAATGCCTCGGGAAAACCGGGAATGGGGAAGGAAAACCGGGAATGATCCCAGTCCTTGGGAAAACCGGGAATGGGGAAGGAAAACCGGGAATGATCCCAGTCCTTGGGAAAACCGGGAATGATCCCAAAGGAAAACCGGGAATGATCCCAGTCCTTGGGATAACCGGGAATGATCCCAGTCCTTGGGATAACTGGGAATGATCCCAGTCCTTTGGGAAAACCGGGAATGATCCCAGTCCTTGGGGATAACCGGGAATGCCGGATGATCCCACTTCCCCAACCCTGTGGGATTTGGGGTTGCTCTGAATTCCAGCCTGGATTTCATCCCAAAAATTCCTCACCCCGAGGAATTCCAATTCCAATTCCAATCCCAATCCCAATCCCAATTCCAATCCCAATCCCAATTCCAATTCCAATCCCAATTCCAATCCCAATTCCAATCCCAATCCCAATCCCAATTCCAATCCCAATTCCAATCCCAATCCCAATCCCAATTCCAATCCCAATTCCAATCCCAATCCCAATTCCAATCCCAATCCCAATTCCAATCCCAATTCCAATTCCAATCCCAATCCCAATCCCAATTCCAATTCCAATTCCAATCCCAATCCCAAGTTTCCCCCCCCCAATCCCAAATTTCCCATCCCAAGGAATTCGCCCCCAACTCCATCCCGAGGAATTGATCCTGAATTTCCCTCCCCCAATCCCAATCCCAATCCCAATCCTCCACCCCAAATTCCCAAATTTCTCCCCAAATCCCATCCCAAATTTTTCCATCCCCGGGAATTCCCTCCCTGACCCCAAAAAACCGCAGGGGAAAAAAAACCAAACCCCAAATCCTGCCCAGGGGGGAAGGAATTCCAAAGGAATTCCAAGGGAATTCCAATCCCAAACCGGTCTGACCGGTCTGGGAACGCCCGGAGCGATCCCACAAAACCCGGAGGAAAAAAAACCTTTTGGGATTCGGGATCCTCGGGATTTGGGATCCCGGGGATTCGGGATCCTCGGGATTTGGGATCCCGGGGATTTGGGATCCTCGGGATTTGGGATCCCGGGGATTTGGGATCCTCGGGATTTGGGATCCCGGGGATTTGGGATCC